AGGTGGCAGGCGGGGAACGTTGGAGTCCTCCGTCACTGAAGCAAGCAAGCCTCATGTTAGTTTCAAGCTGCCTGGCTGCTGGCCGCCATCTTGGCTGGCCATTAATTTGCATATCTCCCTCATTAGCCAATGGTAAGGGTAGTGGTCGTATGCCAATTACCATGTTTCTCTTTTATTAGATAGGATGGGCATTGGAAAGGGGCAGAGGGGCTGTAAGGAGGGTGGGCAAAGGCCTCCCCGCCAGGAAGGCAGCATCTAGACCTGGATTATCTGGGAGCTGTTAGACTTTCCTGTGGCCACTGTGGCATCTGCACTAAAGCTGGGAAGAAGTGTATTAAACTACACCTGTGGCTGTTCTGTATCATGCTCTTAAAAAATGAGAGCACTTCTGGAAGTGAAACTCCATTAATTCATCTCTACTGTACAAATCACATTGTTGGCACTGAGGAAGAGCAAGCAAAAGATTTCAGGGTGACGTGATGGAGCTCTGGATTTCCCATGGGAATGGAATTCCCCAGGCTGGTTCATTCCATTGTCTTTTCAGGTTAGGAGAATATCATCTCTGGGAGCATCACTTCACTCACCCATGGTCCCCCTCACTCTGTCTCACCATGTATCTGACATTGGGACAGATGCACAAGAAAAATGTGCAAGACAAGGGCTACCAAACCTGGCAATGATCTCAAATGCTTACCTGACACCCCAACAACCATTAGTGCCCAGCAGGGTGTCTGAGCTGGTGTTGCAGAAGGTGCTGGACATAATGCAGTAATGGTTAGAGTGAAGGACTCCTGGCTCCCAGAACTTCTATATAGTTATTGTTTTTTATATATTGTATATATTATATAAAACTTTATATGTTTTATATCTTTATTATATAAATATTATATACTTACCAATTTTGCATGTTTCATCTCTTCTATTCCAGTCTTTTCGTGAGAGTAGAAACCCTGGCTTCTTCCTCTCTATGCCCCAAACAGCTCTTGGCTGTGTCTGGCATGAAGCTGGGGTTCTCTTTATCTTTGCCCACATGAGCTGAAATGATCGTTTGGGGATTCCAGTTTCTGCTTCTGTGTAATGAACCGGCCCTTCGAACACATTTAGTAGTTGTGGGTAGATGGCTGGAGTCTGCCTGCAGGTGTTGTGATGTGGAGTTATTGAGGGTTCCAGGTACTTATAGCCCAGGCAGAGGACACGGAGACAACTTCAGTGCCCATCAGTTACCCAGCAGCTTGAGCCTCTGCAGTTGGCCCAGCCCTTTGCTAGGTTCTGGCAAGATGCCCGGCATAAGACATGCACATTTGAAAATGTAAAGGACAGGCTCTGAAAGCATGCCAGTCAGCGTGCAGGGCAATAGAGTATTGATGGAACCGTTATAGGCAGTGGTGTGAGAGTTGGTGTCTTGAAGGAGGAGAGAATTGTTTGAACCATGTAGTCTGGATCTAAGACTCCTGAGCCCATTTGGAATCCAGAGGTATTTGCTCAGCAGCCTACATGGGAACCTGTGAGTGAGACTCAGTGGCTGGGGCAATACAGAACTGCAGATTATTGGTTACTCAGCAAGCATGGGCTGTGGAGTCAGGCAGCCTGGTTTCAGTCCTGCTCTGACAGATCTTGGCTGTGTGACCTTGGCAGATGGTTTCACCTGTGGTACTTCAGTTGCTTCACCTCTAAGGTAGGAACAATTATAGCTCCTATCTCATCAGACTGAATGATATATGAGTAGAGTACAGGGCTTAGCACTGCGCCTGCCTAACGTAGTAAATCCTCCACATCCCCTTTGGATGGTACTCGGGCGCCCCCTGGTGCTTGTGCTGTTGGGGACCCCTGATTCTCCTGTTTCTACAATAGCAACTGCTTCGTGGGTCTGCTGAGTTCCATTTCATTCAGTGATAAGTCTCAGAGCTGTCAAGGGCCTGGAAGAGCATGCAGC